TGGCTCCAGGGGGGGGCCCCGGCTGTGCCATGCTGGGCAGTGTCACGGTCCTTGGTTGAATTATGTTCATAAAGGGCTTTTGAACCACTCTTAGTCTGACCCGTCACCCAGGATCTGATTGCCTTGGGAGACCCTACCAGGGGCATATAGCCCTCGACAACATAGCTCCTAGGATCACTCGGGTACTCAAACCCCTCCACCACAATAAGGTGGTGGTTCAAGGAGGGGATTACGTAAATCATTGGACTATAATGCATCTTCACACCAGGATTTGCTTCTGTAGCTTGTATAGTCTTCAAGATATTCAATGAGCAAGCATTTAAATGTTCCCATAGGCCACCATTCATTCATTTAAAATCATATAAATATTTAATCATAATACATATCACCAAGAACAGTAATAGCCTGCAACCCACAACCAGGCAGAACATTTTATAATTGGAACCATGTACTTTCAGTAATCTCACAATAATAATAAAATTTCAGGATTATAATAGTGTGATCACTTAGATGACCTTGGCTCTGCACACATTTCTCTCTCTCCCTCTCACACCAAGTCTGTCACTTGATTGGCTGCTCAAAACAGCAACAGACGGTAAGGCTCGGCATAATCGACCTATAAACGTGACCTGTAATAACAGCCAAGCCCCCATAGCCGGAGTAGGTCCAGCCACAATTCTTTTGCGCATTACCGTAATACTCGGGGAATTTCAAAGGGGTAGTCGCGGATTATTGTTATGTGTGGTATTACGGTAAAGTCAACTGACAAATTTGTTGATATCCCAAACTGTCTCGGGAATAAAAACACATTCGCCTGAAAGACTCGCAATTAAAACGACAGACAGAAAGACGGAGTGAGAGAGACAGTGAGTCAGTGTGAGTGCCTCATACAGTTACTGCCGATAGGACCGTTATCACTTTTAAATGCACAACGACCTTGTGTGAACGCCAATTTCAAGATGCCAAAGATTTAGTAGCGCACCTAAAGGAGCATATTGTGGAAGGACGTGTTGTGAGCTGTCCATTAAGAGGATGCACACGTGTTTTCAAAGTCAAATCTTCATTTACCGCGCACATGGGATTGTAGTATCAGATGGAACAGTTGTCAAAGGAACATTGTATTGCATTGCTGGAGATAATCTGGGCTCACATTCAATTGGAGGCTTCACTGAAAATTTCAGTCACTCAAAACATTTCTGTAGGTATTGCCTAATAACCCGATCACAATTTCAGAGTGATGATCCAAATCTGTGTGGACCAGAGCGTACCATCAAGACCTACAGTTCTGCTGTTGATCGTCTCCAGACTGAAGGAACAACAGAAATTGAAGGAGTAACGTTCAAGTCAGTATTCAATTCCCTGAAATACTTTAAAGTCTGTCAGCCGGGTTTGCCACCTTGTCTAGGACATGACATCTTTGAGGGTGTTTTGTCTTATGATGTTGCACTGTTTCTGAAGTATTTTATAAAGAAGAAAGCATGGTTCACTTACTCCACTCTGAATCGGCGCATTAAACAGTTTGAGTACTGTGCCTCTGATGTTTCTGCTAAGCCATGTGAGGTTAGCCCTCACACAGCTAAACTAGCAGGACAAGCCATTCAGAACTGGAACTTGCTGAGGCTAATGCCTCTCATAATTGGTGACAGAGTGAAAGATACATCAGATGATGTGTGGCAGTTGACCATGCAATTGAAAGACATTGTGGACATGATATGTGCTCCGAAAATCTCAGTGTCCCAGGTTGCATATCTTGATGTTCTTCTTATTCAAGAGTATTTAGAGTCAAGAAAAGTTCTATTCCCGGAATGCAATTGGAAACCAAAGCATCATTATTTACATCATTATCCTGCACTGATTCTGAAATTTGGCCCATTGATCAGACTATGGACAATGCGCTTTGAAAGTAAGCATAGTTATTTCAAAAGATGTGCAAGGAATTTGAAGAACTTCAAAAACCTGTGCTTTACACTTGCTGAAAGACATCAGATGTTGCAAGCTCATCTTTCAGCAGGATCAACGGGTCAAACTGTCTTCCAAGTTAAAGGTGGTTCTCCATTTTACCCAGTACTGTACAGTGAAGCAATTCAAGATGTAGTCAGAGATTTTGGATTCACTGAAACCAATACAAAGTTTACAGTAGAAATACTGTACAAGGGGACATCATATAAGAAAGGACAGTTTCTTGTCACTGGGAATACTGAGTCAGTGGAGTTTGGTGAAGTAGTGCTCATTTTGGTAAAAAATGACACAGTTCATTTTTTGGTGTCAACATACATAACTGAATTCCTTCCTCAGTATCATTTGTACTCAGTTAGGAAAGACAAGGAAAAGATGCAGTGTCTGACCATGAGTGACTTGACTGATTTCTATCCATTGTCATCTTATATGAAGGATGGACACCAAATAGTTGCTTTGAAACACAGTGTGTTATCACACTAATGAATGTCATTCCAATGTTAAGTGAGCTTAATTCACTTTTGTATTCTCAGAAATGGATTGTGCAGAGCAAAGCAACCTAAGAAGTGCCATTACAAAAGTGTTGCCAGAGCTCCCAGCTGCAGTTCTAAATATTGTAGAAGAGACACTACAAACTTTAGGGGTGGAGACCACTGAGGATTTACGCTTCATCCAGGAAGCTGATCTGCTTTCAGTACTGAGACCAATTCAAGCGAGAAAATTGGTGGCTGCTTAGAAAGAAACCAGTAAGTACATTTTAACAACATTATATAATGTAATGTCATATATTATATTATTTATAATATATAGATATATTTTTTTTACAGCATGTGACACTGAAATTCACTGCCCATCACCATTACCATCTTCAGCATCCTCATCTCGAGAAAGCCAACAGGAGAAAAAGGAGAAGATGAAGGTGCGCTTTGAGCAGACGAACTTCAATCCAGATGAGGTAAAAACTCTTATGAAGTGCACCTACTACTCCCAGTGGAAAGAGATAAACAGTGGAACAGATCTAAAATATCTCATGGAAGAGTGGCCTTTTTTGTTCACAGAGATTGGCATGACAGTCCACTTCCAAGAGCTCACTGGGGTATCACTGAAGGACACATTCCTCAACAGTCTAGAAAAGAAGGGAAAACGTCTTCTGGACTTTATGAGAACCACTTGTGCAGACAAGAGCAAACGTGTTTTGCAGGAAGTCACAAAGCTAAAAATTCTCAGAGGCCAGTTGGATGGCTGCTCAGAAGATGTCAAGGATATGGTGCTCCTCCTCCTCTGCTACTTTGATGAAAAAGAGGAGAGCCTCTTCCACTATGTAGAGGAAACATGCCTGGCAAAAGAAATACAAATGGAAAGGCTGCCTTTGACACCGTGCATTGTTGTATGTGGTGAGTTAATACTCTGTACTAACTGAAAGAAAACTAAGCTAATGGATAACACTCAAATTACAAAATGCTTGTTGTGGTTTCCCATCAAGTGGCATTTTCTTATCCATATAAGAGTAAACAAGGTTTCAATCATCAGTTCCTTCTTTTTTTGTGAAGGACCTGATGGTTTCATTTTGTTCTTCAATATGAATGAATCATTTTATGTTGATAACATTTGAAGGGTGAACAGAATGCTCTGTTACCATTATCTATTGGAGAAAACACCGCTGGTTAGACAAGAATATAGCACTTTTTGAGACCGGTTTTGGATGGTAATGGCTGTTAAATATTTTTTAACTCTATCTTTTTGGCAGGAACCACCTGCTATGCATCAAGGCTGTTCATGCTGAGTATAGACTGCAAGATTGTGAATGACCAGATCCCTAACTTCATCTTTGCCATTTGTTTGATGTTCAGAAGCTATTATTGCCTCAATATCCACTATCCAGTGGCTCTAGGCACTACACTTGAGTTCCTTCAGAGGTAAAGAAATATATAATTTTTATTTCTCCTTCAGAACAGATCATTTTATATAGTGGTTGATTGTGTTCACAAAGGTGTTTCTTCAACATCAATCCAGAGAAAGGCACAAAAGTTGAAACAAAGAAAAACAAGAAGCAACTATCTGTGAACCCAAGAGTCCTCACCCTCATCGCAGATCTCTCTGATCATGAGTGGAGAGAGACTTGTTAAAGATGGACTTATGCACCTGAACTGTTAAGACTGACTCTTATACAGCACTATAGCTGTATGGGGTAGTATACACCTAAATGTGTGTTACCTGTTAATAATGGACATTCAGAACAATATATTATGTTTTCAGTTAGCTCAAATGTTTAAATACTTCAGACTTTGTTCTTGGTTCTGTGAAATTTATGGAAACAGGCTAATTGTACATTTTGATGAAACTATTAATGCCTATTTTTTATTTTTTGTCATTTTTGTTAGAGAATGTTTTTAAGTTAGATCAAACAATTTGATCAAAAATCTGATTTCAGTTTTATAATTCTGAAAATAGTAAACGGCTTGTATCTTCAAGATTTTAAGATTGGATAGCTTTAATTTTAGCATAAGAGTTAAGCTTGTTGGCAGACAATGTGTTCTACCTAATAAATTGTCTAAAAAAAAGATCAATATTTTAGCCATTGTTTTAGTTTCAGATTGGGTTGAAGGAAAGCAGCTTTGTTTAACAATCTCCTTTAAGGTAAGCATAGATCTAAAAAGGTTTTCAATGTGCTGAGATTACATTATTTTAAACTTCTCATGCTTTCAAACATCTTTATAACAAGTGTATTCTGGCTGCAGAGCGGATCGCACCAGTCCATGCCTGATGCACAACGTGTAAGTCTTCAGGCAGACATGATGAGACACCTGCTCAAAGTTCCAGTTTCCTGAACGTCATACATCATATGTCTCTGGGACTGTCCCATCTCTCTTCAGTCAAATCTGGACACAATGACTTGGACACCAGTGATGTCAAGGTTAATTAGAGGTAAGCATTTAATGTAGCTATCAGTTTTGATGCAAGCACAACTTGTCCTTTACTCAATCTTCCTTAATCCAACAACTTTATTGCACATAAAAGAAACGAGGACTTTGGACTATAGTGGCTGATAGACTGCCTGAGTGCTGGCTTTTGTGTATTTAGGCTACTTTTGATGGCTTGGTGCTGAAATGTGTTTATCACTTCCTCTTTATACTGTTTGATTACAAAAATGACCTGCAAAACTTTCTTATACATATATCTAGCTTCTATATAGCTGTGAACAGAGGACTGTGAATTTATTTCTGTGTAGGCATCAGATCATTAGCAACTGCATTAGTCTAACCTTTGCTTTATTTCTGTTTTCTGCTTGCAGAGATGATCGTACCAGTCCGCAGTAAACACGTTACGGACAACATGTGTCTTCAAGCAGAACTCGGGACAGTACATAAGTTGCTGAGACGATCATACCAGTCCACAGTAAACACGTTACGGACAACATGTGTCTTCAAGCAGAAATGGGGACAGTACATAAGTTGCTGAGACGATCATACCAGTCCACAGTAAACACGTTATGGACAACATGTGTCTTCAAGCAGAACTGGGGACAGTACATAAGTTGCTGAGATGATCATACCAGTCCGCAGTAAACACGTTATGGACAACATGTGTCTTCAAGCAGAACTGGGGACAGTACATAAGTTGCTGAGATGATCATACCAGTCCGCAGTAAACACGTTATGGACAACATGTGTCTTCAAGCAGAACTGGGGACAGTACATAAGTTGCTGAGATGATCATACCAGTCCACAGTAAACACGTTACGGACAACGTGTCTTCAAGCAGAACTGGGGACAGTACCTAAGTTGCAGTCCATGTGAGACTCTTGCACACCGAGTGCCCTCTTCAGTCAAGCCTGGACTCTGACTCATTACTTTTGATCTTCCTGGGCAAGTGGCAATTTTTTTTTTCATATTTATTTATTCCACCTTGTGTTATATTTAAGATGCACACAGAACCTCTTTTTCAATTGTAACCCAACTTTGGAGTATACAGTATCATTTATTGGATCACAGATGTGTAAATGCAAAAACTGTTTATTATTGATATCCTGTAAGCAGTTTACAGTGGATTTTATTAGTCATTTAAAATGTATTCATAAAAACTAGTGACTGTAAAATTTATGTCAACCAATTATAATATTTTATGGGTTATACTGTATTTTTTTTCAGCGAAATTCTGGTAACCACAGCTGCCGGTAATTTTCTGTAAAATCAAAATTTTACTTAATAGCTGTTGTTTTTAGGTTTACAAATCTGTCTGTTTTTGATATAAATTTAACGTAAATTAAGTAACAGTTCTTAGCTGTGAAAATTACATTTGACAAATGCATATACCGTAATGTGTTATACATTGACACTGTATTTTTTACGGTGAAATTCTGGCAACCGCAGCTGCCAGTATTTTACCGTAAAATCACCCTTTACAATAAAATACCGTAGTATGTCATACGGTTGTACTGTGTTTATTACTGACATAAACTGTAAATAGATTTACACTATACATGTTATATTAAAGTATTTTACTGTAAACAGTTTTACATAATAACTATATTTTTTACGGTGAAATTCTGGCAACCGCAGCTGCCAGTATTTTACCGTAAAATCAACCTTTACAATAAAATACCGTAATATGTCATACGGTTGTACTGTGTTGATTACTGACTTAAACTGTAAACAGGTTTACAGTATATCTGTTATCTTAAAGTAGTTTACCGTTATGTGATATACATTGACACTATATTTTTTACGGTGAAATTCTGGCAACCACAGCTGCCAGTATTTTACCGTAAAATACACAGAATTGTTTTTACAGTGTAGTTTTCATCATGTACGTTCTGATTATAACTTGGACTGTGGATTAGTGTGTTGTCTGTACCTCTGCCGAAGTGAGGAGGTCTGGACTTAGTAAAGGCTCCATCTGCTTCTGCTTCCTCCTCTTCTTTGGCCCCAGGAAAGTCGCGGTTCTCCAGCCCAGGACTGAGGCTCCGTTCTGCAGGAGGCTGGCGTCCTTGCCCACCTGCCTGCGGCTCTGTGCCCAGCTCAGGATCAGAGCTGCCGGCTGGAGGAATAATTGACACCCGTTTTCTCTGTGGAACTTCAGCTGGAGACTGAGAGTCTGGATCTGCCATCTGAGAGCCAAGACATGTTGACTTTAAACACAGTCAGCACCGCTGAAGTGAAGTCTTCTGTAACCATGTGGTCCTTGTTCATAATGACCTGTGTAATGTCTGTCTAGTTTAGGCAGACCTGACTAACTCATCTGACATGCTAAAGTAACAAGGGCAGGCTCAGTGTCCGTGTGGTCTCTCACCGAGCCACAGCTCATTCTGGAAACAGCTGCTCAAACTAAACCTGACAGATATCAGCCAGTCAGTGAGCATTTAGTGGATGACTGACTTGTGACTCCAAACTCTTCGACACCACGAGCAAGTATTCAAAGCTACAATCTGTAAATTTCACATATGTAAAACAAAGTTCTTGGCCACACTCAAACAGGGGACACTGCATCCAGACCTCTACAGCTCCAGTGGAAGGAGTGTGGGGGCCTTGCCTGCGGCCTGAGTGTCGTCTGCAGC